GGGCGGCCCTGCTTAGCTTCCGAGATCGGGCTTGCCTGGGCTATCCAGGTCAGGGCAATACCTGGAAGATCTTGGTCTCTAAGGTGCTACCAACAAGATTTTCGGAATATGGGAACTTTGACTCTCAAAAACTGATACCCTTGTTGGTCTCTTAAGATGCTACTGGGCTCGAATCTAGGGGTGTGTGTGTACGGATGGATGGATAGAGAGAAAGAGAGACAGACAGATATAGATATATAGGTATCATATTATTATTAATATTATTACAGTTGTTAACAGTTACTACCGTTAATCAGAGGTCATTTCGGAGGGGTCGCGGGGGGTCGCAGTTCCCCCGGGTGAGGTACGGGGGGCGGGGCACATGACGAAGCCCCGCTCCCTGCTTCTGGCCACCCCGCTTCCGGCCCTCATTCAGCCAGGAGGAGGCAGGAGAAGAGGGAGGGTAAGTTGCTTCCTCCCTGCCTCTCCCCACCCCTGCCTGCCTGGGACCAGGGAGAGGGTGTGTGGCCTTATGACACATTTCCGGTGATGTCAGGGGGTGTGGCCTTATGACACACTTCCGGTGATGTCAGGGGTGTGGCATATGCTAATGAGTTATGCTAATGAGTTCCCCTAGCTCTTTTTCTACGAAATGACCCCTGCCGTTAATGATATTGATTGTTGTATCAAAAACGATGTAGCTGGATCAGACAGAATGCAGGACCTCGAAGCCCCATTGACCTGTAGAAACACAGGAATCTGCCTTATGCTTCTAGCTTGGTGTTGCCCGCTCTGACTGGTAGGGGCTCTCCAATACCGAAGGCCCTTTTGACTGGACAGGCTGGGGGGGGGACGCACCCTTTGCCTGAGGAACCATGCTGTCCGTCCCTGAGCTGCCACCTCTCCCGATGACGCTGCCCCACCCCCAGTCAGATCCCTGCTTCACCAAGCTTGGTATTGCCTACTTTGACCGGCAGCTGCTCTCCAGGGCCTCTGTCTTGGGGAGATTTCCCCCAACACCCGCTGCCTGCAGTGCTGGACTGAACCAGGTGTTGTCACCATACAAACACACCCCGAGTGAACGGAGGACGCTGGAGAGTCAGCTCATCGGCTCCCCAGCCCAAGGCTTCTGCCTGTGATTATCCAGGGTTGTCCAGGATCTCGGGCCCAGAAAGGTCTTTGGCCAGACCTGCTGAGGAAGGTCGTTCAGGGGGATCAAGCCAGGGACCTTCTGCTTTCAGAGCCGGCTCCCTCCCGCTGAGCTGCAGCCCCCTCCCTGGTGGGTTCGTCTCTCCTCCTGTCCCCATTTCTTGAGCACTTCTCAGCGAAATTCCAGTCTACTTTATGCTCATGAACAGCCCTCCGAGGAAATCTAGATAAACAGACGAGGGCCGCTTCGTGGGTTCTGCCTGTCCATCGTTGCGTTTGAAGCGCATCTGTTCTGCCAACCGGTCGCGTGGCTCTCTGGCTCGTTTGCATGCGGAGAGACGGCCGCGCCTTGCCCCCTCCGAACGCGAACATGGCATGTAATGTGTGAAGCGCACCATGATTTGTCACCACCAAGGCTTGAGAGGGAATTTGAGCCTGGGGAAGGGCATTGCAGCCAAGCCGCGGTCCTCTGACCACTGAGCGACACTTCCTCTTGCAGGGCTCTTTTTGTAGAAAAAGCCCAGCAGGAACTCATTAGCATAATAGGCCACAACCAACAGCAGGAACTCATTAGCATATTAGTCCACACCCCTGACAGCACAGCTCATTAGCACATTAGGCCGCACCCCCATGTTACCAGAAGTGTGGTCATCCAGCCACACCCACCTTTTGCTTCTTATTCTGTTTACCTTGTTTGTTGTCAAAGTTCCAGGGCTTTTTTTGTAGCAGGGACTCCTTTGCATGTTAGGCCACACACCCCTAATGTAGCCAATCCTAATGAGTTTCTGTGGGTGTGGCCTATTATGCTAATACGTTCCTGCTGGGCGTGGCCAACTCGGGAGCCAGCTGGAACTCCGTTCCTGCCCAAAGATAGCCCTGCACTTGGGTAGCTTTTTTGGATGTTTATCCTACAACCAAACAGGATCAAGAGAATAGAATGATTGAGGGTTCTGTGAGGAGTGAGGGGGCTGTTTGGATAAGTTTCCAGGTGGATAGCCCTGTTGGTCTGCAGAAGGGCAAAGGTCGAGTGCCTGTAGCCCCTGCGATGCCAACGAGATTCCCAAGAAGACGTTTCTGAAAAGATTTTCTCTTTGGATACGAAGTCTTGGACCCAAATTCATGCCTCCTTCCCTTCAAAGTTGTACTGCCCCTTTCCCCCCCGTGACGCTTTCCCCTTAGATTCCTTTTGGCTGCACTCACTTGCCCTTTCTGGGGATCAAACAATATCTGTACATCCCGTGCCCCGAGCATGAGGAAGGGTTGCATCAGTGCTTAGTTCTTGTGGCCCTTTCTGACACGCCCTGGGAAATGCCAATCGCCACTTTGGGGGTCAGGAAGCCATTTTTCTCCCGGCCAGTTTGCCCAGGGATCCTGGATGTTTTTTGTCATCTTTTGGGCATGGAACAGGGATCACTGGGGTGGTGGGTGGAGTGGGGTATTTGTGAATTTCCCGCATTGTGCAGGGGGCTGGACTAGATGACCCTGGAGGTCCCTTCCAACTCTGTGACTCCCCTAGTGCAACTAGTGAACAGGATACATGTCCAGTGAAAACTTTTGATTTTTAAAAACACGGCCATGCAGCTCAGCTTAGAGCAGGGGTGGCCAAACTTGTTCAACGTAAGAGCCACATACAATGAACACCAAGATGTTAGAGAGCCACAAGGCATGAACAATGATCACACACCGTTTTTACTGAAAAATATGCAAATTTGCTTTTTTGTTAACATTAAAAGAGTGCTAAAAATAAAAGCAAAAGGGGTAAACACAGATATTGATAATGATGTTTAGTTGTCCAATGATATTTGTTTGTTTGCTAATGATATTTATTTGTCTAAGTGAGAGAGAAATGGAGAGAGAGGTGGAAAGAAAGAATGAAAGAGGTGGAAAGAAAGAGAGAGAAACAAAGAAAGCAAATAGATGGGAGGGAGGGAGGGAGGGAGGAAGGAAGGAAGGAAGGAAGGAAGGAAGGAAGGAAGGAAGGAAGGA